ACATCATTCAAACATATGGTGAATCACCAAAGCATATTTGCTCGGATCGAGGTACCGAATTCACCAATGCCATCTTTCGTACCAACATCTTGAACAAGTATGATATCACCATGTATCACATGGATTCAGCGAATAAGGCAGTACTAGCCGAACGAGCAATTCGAGATATCAAGGAAGACATCATAGTTCCATTCAATCAATGGAAAGGTGTATGGATTGATTTGATCGATGGTGCAGTTCGTAGACATAATGGAAGGAAGAACAGAGACACCGGATATACACCCAATGACATTTGGCTTAACAACAACAACGATATCTTGTACATGGAGAAAACAGAACCATCCAACATGACAGCAAAGGACACAACACCTCAATTCGATGTTGGTGATTATGTTGGAGTGACATGAAGACCTCGCATTCTGGAAAAGCGATCATTGACAAGCAAATGGTCTCAGGACTTGATTGAAGTTGTTGACATTGATGATCACATCATGCCATTGATATACGAAGTGAAGAATGTGGAAAGCGATAGCACACAGAAGTGTTATGATTGGGAACTGCTGGCAAGCAAATGCAAACCACAACCAGCACTACCCATCACTCGATCTAAGAGTGGTAAAGAACCCAATGCATTGAGAGAGGCAGCAAGATCACATCGACCCATTACGAGCACCCAGAAGAAGAAGAAGCAACCTGGCTCAAGTGTTCGAAAACGATCGTGATGCTCTTCACACCTCCCAGACATACAAGAAAAGGGATATTCGTGAATGCAGAGATCGTATGACTCTCACTTGTCCATTCTATTCCATTTATCAGTTTGGTATTGGAAAGGGTCACATAATTGTTGAGTGTATCGATGAATGGTACATCGAGCAATCACACACCATCCATTGAAACACTCACCTTGTATCCCTTATCCACAACTGATTCGATGGAATCACAATGTTTGAATAGGGCATCATTCTCATTGTAACACGGAATCGATGTGATTATGAGATATGAAGCCGAAGATAATTGGAATTGACATTGATTATTGAATGGTTGAGTGGATGTGGGTGTATGTTCAAAGAGTGTGGCATTATTGACTTTCACAAAACACCCAGAAGGTATTGTTTATAAATATTGATGAACGCCATCCACTGTATCACGAATGAGGACAAGTTTGCGGTCGTTCTCGGGCATATTGATGAGCATGTTATCGAGCTTCTTGAACGTGTAATTGTTTCCATTGCTTCTGAATATGTACGGCATTGATTGATTCAATTAACTTTGGTTGATTTCGTTCATAGGGTTTGACATACACACCTTTCAAACAGGCTCCATTCACATTCGAATATGTGAACATGTTGAGTAAGAAACGATCTAAATTCATCACTACCGTGGAGAAGAACCTATACAAGCTGTTGGCAAATTCGACCTATGGCAAATTCGTGGAGACTGGATTGAAGCGGATGAAGGTAAAATTCGCTAGCACGTGGAATGAACGTGAAGCAATCATTCAGAAGCATTGGTACGATATGATCGCCGGGACTACCATGTATTCCGAGAATCTGATTGGCATCAAGCTGAACACACCGGTGCGCAGGGTGGAGAAGCCATTCTTCATCGGGTTTGCCATTCTCGATATGTCCAAGCATGTCATCTACGATTTCTACTACAATGTGCTCAAGAACACATTCGACACCGTGGAACTGTTGGGACAGGACACGGACTCGCTCATCGTGCAACTGCACGATCGTGGTAACATCGTACACAAGATATGTGAGATGTACAAATCATTCGACTTCTTGGAGTTGGATAACACGAGCTACTTCTATGGAGAACTCGTGAACTATTACAAGCATGAAGTGGACAAGAGCAAGTTCCCTTCATTGGAATCGACTCTCAATTTCAACAAGAAGTTGCCTGGCTTGGTCTTTAAGGATGAGCACAGCGGACATCGTATCACGGAGTTCGTGGGACTGAAACCGAAGATGTACTGTTTGGTCGATGAGAAGCATGTGATACACAACGCAGCAAAGGGAGTTCCTCGCAATGTCGTGATCGATGGTGAGAGGATGAGTGTGAAGAACATCGATTTGTACAAGCGTGTTCTTGAGGCAGAGAAGAAGGAAGATGCAGTGATCGAAGGCAGCTTCAAGCGTATCAACAACCAGGCCTTCGATATCACCACGAAGGAGCAGACCAAGACCTTCATAACATGCACAGACAACAAACGATATATCATGGACGACAACATACATACACTGGCATTCGGACATTACCGATTGTGGGACATGTAATTGCGGAACGAAGTTCCGCTGGGAGTAAACGAAGATTCCTCCAATGTAAAGGAAATGTTGTTTTTACTTCAGACAGTCAGAGTCAGCCATGGTCAGTCTGGGTAAGCTGGGCTCAAACGTAGCTGACGCAAAAAGCGCGTTATGTTAGCCATAGTCAATATCGGTCAAAATAGCATCCAGGAAGAAAATGGTAGAAAAATATAACGCACGTTCTGCGTCGTCGATTTTCAGCTAAGGTTGATTATCCGACCCTTATTTAAAGATGAATCTTCGATTCTTTTGGGGCAACGTAGTGGCCACTATTTCTTATGAAAGCAAAAAAATTCGGGTTGTCAAAGTCACCCCTCATTCCCCGACTTTAGGGCTTTTTGTCATGGATTCGAAGTGAAAATGGCCTGAAAATAGCCGGAAATGGATTCGCGTTTTGCGTCATTTTCCTACTACTTATACATTCAAAGTACATTGATAAAATTGTTTATAAAGTTGTTCAATTATGACTATGTTTATTATTACCGTTTTATTTTATGATTTCTGCAGTATCAATGTAAAAAAGGTTGGTATCATCAGATTTAACTATTTTCTTCATTACGCCAGTATTTCTCCATTTTTGCATGAATATTGTGTTGAAGCAATATATTTTATTATAAAATAAGGGCTTAGGAGCTTACATATCCATATATCAACATTCACTTTATCATTGTAAATTGAATGTATGAAAAGATGATTTATTTGAATTGGATGTTCGATTATATATCGAAAGTATGTACATATATGTATATATCAAACAAAAATAATAATGTGGTTTTAGATATGGATGTTGGCCATTTTGATCTGGAAAAATGATAGTTAACGAATAGAATATCATCTATGATAATAAGACTGATTGTAATAGATTGAAATAGAAAGAAATAGAAATGAATAGTTGGTGAATGAACGAAAATGGCTTTGTTCTAATTTCTAAGCAAATTAAAGTGAATTACGAAACGATATTGTATCTCTAAAGGTAATAATAAAGGGTTAATACAACGATGTTATTGAAATGAAGTTGTTGGTCTATTTTGATTTTGCTATATATGGAAAATATTACTATTGATTGTATATTTACATCAGTTTAATGGAGAGCTTTGATTTTAAATCATTTTCCTGAAGCTTGGTTGCTAGGCTCCCTGAATATCTACAAATTCGTTCCTATTTGTATAATCATGTCTAATTTAGATTATAGGTAAATAACTCAATATTATTATTTGACACACAACAATATTCTTCTGGCAGTTTCATTTTGAATCTATAGCCATATTTTTTCAATTCTTGGTAGTTTATCTTAATATTCAATGAATCGGCAGTGTACTAGCATAGAGATCCTGTGCTAGTACACTGCCGATTTATTTGAAAGTAACTAAGACATTTTGGTTATTATCAAGTTTGATGTAAGTATTCTATACTTTTTGTACCTAGGGTTGTTTTGCTTTATTTTTCTGTAATCGTCTTGGTCATTACCGCATCTTCTCCTGAATGTATATTTACTATGTCGTTTAGTCCATTTCTTGGTTTGCTGCATAGCTGATCTAGGGAGTAATGAGAAATAACGACTATCCATTTTGCCTATATTGGTAATTGCTATTCTTTGACTTCTATTATTTGTGTTTGCCCTATATTTTTCTTTTTTAACATGGATGGCGATCTTCTTGGTTTTTACTTTTTTGCTATTGACGGTTGGCTTATTTCTGAATCTACCTTATTAGTACCCAACAAGTTATTATCATTCCTTGTATTCTAGCTTTTCAATGAATACTATTACCCTCCTTTATGACTACGAATGAAGTATATTTATAACGAAGCATGATTTGATAATTATTATTATAGTCTTCATAATCTGCTATAGCTTCCGAGTACAATTATAGTGTTTGCATGAATATTGTGTTGAAGTAATATATTTTATTATAAAATAAGGGCTTAGGAGCTTACATATCCATATATCAACATTCACTTTATCATTGTAAATTGAATGTATGAAAAGATGATTTATTTGAATTGGATGTTCGATTATATATCGAAAGTATGTACATATATGTATATATCAAACAAAAATAATAATGTGGTTTTAGATATGGATGTTGGCCATTTTGATCTGGAAAAATGATAGTTAACGAATAGAATATCATCTATGATAATAAAACTGATTGTAATAGAAAGAAATAGAAATGAATAGTTGGTGAATGAACGAAAATGGCTTTGTTCTAATTTCTAAGCAAATTAAAGTGAATTACGAAACGATATTGTATCTCTAAAGGTAATAATAAAGGGTTAATACAACGATGTTATTGAAATGAAGTTGGTCTATTTTGATTTTGCTATATATGGAAAATATTACTATTGATTGTATATTTACATCAGTTTAATGGAGAGCTTTGATTTTAAATCATTTTCCTGAAGCTTGGTTGCTAGGCTCCCTGAATATCTACAAATTCGTTCCTAAATATTGACCTGGTGTGTCAAATATGTGATGTTGAATGTAAAAATTGGTTATGATTCATCCATTTGCTAACTCAGTTAAAGTACTAGTACCCCCCCGGCTAGCCGGGGGGGCGTCTTAGACGCTTTAACTGAGTTAGCAAATGGATGAATCATAAGATTTGCATTTTAAAATAACCGCGGTAAACGCGGAAATGCAAATCTGAAACCATAAAATTTTTATTTTTGAGAATTCCTAGTGAAAGAATGAGCGATACTACGAATAACAACCAGGAGACGGAGAAGATGAGTCTGGAGACTCCTACCACAAGTCAGAGTACTCCAAGCTATCCGAGTACACCGGACTCGCCTCGTAGAAGAGACGCTGAAAGGGAGTTGGACTCGGACTTGAACATGGACCTACCGGAGTTAACAGAAGATTTATCCATAATTCCTCTGTACCCTGACTCAGAAGAGGATGCACTCCTATTGGAGACACCAAACTCGGACTTGGACTCGGACTCGTCACTACCTCTAAGAATCTCGGACTCGGACTCGGACATGGAAGAAGGAATGGACTCGGACTTCGAGCCAGTGTGGTGTCCGAAGGAGATAGTGGGACCTAACAACCATCTAGTATGTCCGGCATCACCAACGAAGGTGACACATCTTCCTGAATATGTTTCGATACCAGATAAACCGGAGGAGGAGACTGATCCCGTGATGCTAGAGGAGGACAAGCAGTGGGAACGAGGAGAGGTACCGGACTTCGAGAAGCCAGAGGAGTATGACACCAAGCACCGTTGGTGGAAGATAACAGTGTTCCCGACAAGCAAGGGTACGCTACACTCGCAACGTGCAGTATGCAGATGGGTAAACGAGGTGAAAGTCATGATACAGAAGATACTACACCTTGCCAATATAATCTGCTGCATAGTGGGTATAGAAAGATGTCCAAACACGGACGAGCTTCATGCCCATATGCTACTGGGCTTCTCTGATTCGGTACGTTACCGCACTATCAAGAATATCCTGAGAGGTGCTCAAATACGCTACCTGGAAGGTGACCTAGCTATACTTTCATGGTATCGATACGTCGTCAAGGCATTCTCCAAAATTGATCACCCGGATAGAGTTATTCAGTGGGGAGCTAACGAAGTTATGAAGAAGAAGGTTAAAATGAATAACTCCGGAAAGAGAAGTCGTAGCGATCTGTTCTACGACAACAAAGAGGCCATAGAACAAGGAAGGTTCGATGAGATTGATCCACTCTTCCGCTTCGACAACATGAGCAAGATTAACCGATGGTATTTGGACCAACACAGACCTGCAGACCCCGTAAGTCATGACCGCCTCGTATTCATCTACGGTAAGCCGGGTGTGGGTAAGACCAGTCTATTTTCGAGAAATATGTTGGCATCTACAATCTACTGGAAGAACCCTGGAAACCGATGGTGGTGTGGTTACCGATATCAACCAATTGTGATCATCGATGAAATCACGCCAAAACAATTTCAATCGGGCAATATCAATTGGAATATTATCGGAGACAGGAACGAGGTATATGTAGAGGTGAAAGGAAGCCAGGTACCTCTACAAGCCAGGTGGGTAATTGTAATATCTAATTACTCATTGGATCAACTATGCAGCGTTCCAAATCGTGGACTTGATGATCTAATGAAGAGAACATTCAAGCGACGATGCGGAAACCAGAAGGACGGTTACCGAATTTACTACTTTCCTGAAAATCCTCCGGCTGATAACGGCAACCTGTTTGAAGTGAGCAGAAGAGTAAAAGAAATCTGGAAAGTGTGGTACTATGAGGTTTATCCCTATTTCGCCAATCTTCCTGAAGTTAATGAAAATGACGAGTAATGAAGCATGTTTGTTAACAAAAAATAAAAAATAGAACATTATAAATACCGGCAACAGTGCGGAAACCGCCTCCAAGTGTATCTCCAAGTGTATTCACTACAGTACTCACCTTTTTAGAACCGAGGAATGAAGTCACACGCTTCCATACAGAACCAAAATCATTAACAGACGCAGGATAGATGGAATTCATTCCGGAATTAATCTGAGACGCGAGTATAATGGCACTCATATCAAGATAAGATTTATGAGTTTCCAGAACGGAATAACCACTCTGGTAAGTGTAATGGCATTGATAACCAGCATACACGCGGAAGAGCAAAGATTGCGCGGCATTCATGGAATCAACGGCCAAGCAGACCCAATTAAGATTGCAAGACCAATTGATAGCCAAGTTACTGGGATTCGCATTAAAGCGATCTAGGAAGGAGTAGACATCATTTTGAGTTATCTTAACCTGTCCATAACCACTAATATCCTCCAAAGAGACTCCATCATAGGTAACATACTCCGAACGCGTACCGGTATACTTTTGTACCAAATAGCATCCTACGGGTAGAGCATAGGTAACAGTACTTTGCGAAGCATTCGAAATATTATCAGGGCCAACAGGTAGAGCAGAAGTTTTCCACAGACGCGTAATAGAACTATCAGTACCTGAGGAATCATTGGCCACATCTTCAGAGGGGATTACAACAGACGCCGCAACGAGAGAGCCTTCATTATTGTACTGATTTCCAGTGTAATGACCGGTGCAACCTTTGTACATACAGCGCAATTCCGAGATTCCAACTTCACCAGCAGATATAAAAGCCATGATGTTAGCATCCGGAACCAGAACAGCACGCATCTTCCTAATAGCAGTCGTACTGGACATAAAATAGAACCAGGAAACAACCATAACAGGATACTCAAAAAACGGTGTCAAATAAACAGAAAAATCGAGATTGTCAGGTACATCACCAGCATAATCAGGCGACACGAAAAAATCCCTATCAATTGTAAAATTAAAGTTAGCCTGCAGACAGATAGAAGGTGTATTATCCTCATCAGGAATACACTCACAACTACCATGTGCAGGATCAATATAAGAAGCCAGCCAGCGAGCACCATCATAGGAACCACACTGCTGAACAATACCACTATTTAGCCAATTAGAAAGCGACATAAAAAAAATTATGACATTCAGCGAAACACAATTACAGACACGAGTCCGACAAGTCCGACAAGTCTACATAGGAAATTCATAAAATTTTTATACAATGTTAACTAGAGGATGGTTCGAAGATTCCGAAGACGAATTTTCCCAAAACGAAGACTATATGGATCTTACTCTAGATACCGAAAACGAGCGGGATCCACCAAACGACGATATCATAAGACGTATCGGAATAGACTCTTTCTTGGAGCAGGTAAGAAGTATGCCAACAGATCTCGCTTCGCGAATCGAGTGTCAAAAGTACTTAGACGACGTTATCGACGTCGCAAGATTTTTAAGACGGGTGATCTGGCGAAATACAAAGGTGTACAGGCTTGGGCCTCTGCGCAAACTGAGCTTAGTAAAGGAAAACCAAACTCCGGAACAGACAAAGACACCTGGTACAACACAGTCCTCACAAACATAAAAATCATGGAAGGACTCTTATGGAAGGAAGCAAAATTCGTATATATATACAGACAACACAAGCGGATTCTACCGAAGTTATATCATATTGCCAGCGCTAGCAGGGACACCTTGAATAAGGAAATGACGCTGGATGAAACAACAATACCAAACGAGAACTGGAAGGAGCTAAAGATGATCGTGAGACTAACAAGACATTTCAATCCGCAAAACACTCAGTGGAAGGAAGTTATGAGCAAACAGAAGAACAGCATACAACTGGCGACAATATTCACAGTAGGTAGAATCGGCATCCAAAGAATGGACAACTTCTTAAGATCAATGTATGCAGCAAACTACATGGAGGTAGCAGGAAACATTCTCAAGAAGGGCCTGTTAACGCGCTTCAAACTAAAACACAAGGGTCGCCGTAGG